AACACAACTTAGGTCTTCTGTTTGCAAATGTTCCTAGAACGGAATGCAAATTTTCACCACTCTTCTCCCAGTTCCAAAGGATGCAATGTTGACGGCGATAGATGGACACCCTGGACGCGCTGTGCCTCTGTGAGTTGAAGCTGTGGTGTGAGCTGGTATGTTTGTCACAAGGCTGTCAGGGCATACACTTTTTACAGTGCATGTTTCCTGGGAAGGCCTCAAACCAGATCTTGTCCAGTGGCTAGAAAGCAATCCTGAGCAGCAAACAGGGTTTATTGATAGAGAGAGGCCAGCCCCAATCTCCACAGGGTGAAAGGGTGGACCAGCTCTATCTGAATCATGTGTCTTCGTAAAGATCGTTGGATTTCGGCTTCTTCTAAATTCTCTTACCACCTGGATAGGCATAGCAGTCCAAGGAGTGGCAAGTATCAAGGTGATTTTGGAAACCTTGTGGTGAGCAGGTGTTAGACCATCACATGGAGTCTTCCTAAAGTCTGGCCTAGATGAGGGGTAATTCTGAAAGACAATCAGCTCTGGACTTAAATCCTTGCTCATGATCTCATTCCCACTTGCTGAATTTTCTCTTCCAGTCAGCATAGCTGGGGACAACCATATGTCTTTGGATAAAGTCTGCTGCGGAAGGCCAGGATACTTGGAGGAAGTCACATGAAATCTTGTGATTTGAAGAGCTGGCGACCCACCTGAAGGAAAACCTTGTTTTGGTTTCTGGGATCGTGTTGGAAGACCAGAGGGAGTTTCAGGCACCTTCTCTAATTGTGGCACGAGAAGACTTGAATGAGTGTGACTGCTTCCATGGGAACCTGCTCGAAAAGGCTTTATCATCAAGCTGCACGTAGAAATGTGAAGCTTCATTGAAGTGTGGAGGTCTGACATTTGGACATTGCACTGGCTACAGCCTTGTTGGTGTGGCAGTGAATCACAAGTTTCCAGAGATGCATGCAGGTTTTTTCTGTGGAGCATAGAAGCAGCTGGAATAGCAGACAGGTCAACATTTAGGCATGATGTCCAGCTTGACGGAGCTTTGCAGGAAAGAACATCTGAGGGCAAGGATAGGGCAAGCTTCAAGGGATCACTTTTTCCAGGGGAAATATGATGAACACTTCTTTCTCTTTTTGAATATTGCTTGTAAGATGCAGATGTTGACTGAGTGCCAGACCTCTCATATCCATGGTCCCAAGGATCCTTGCAAGCACTGGAACATGTGGATGTCTCAGAGGGACTGACACTTTGGGGACTAGCACTCCCAAAACCTTTCCTCTGGTCTGTGTGTGCCAGGATGACATCTAGCCTTGAACAGTAAGACACACTGCTGGGTGGTGAGATGGCATTTCCTGGAGCAAGCCTGGCAAGTGATTGACCAGTGGGAGGATGCCAAGCTGGTACTGGCATCTTTTGAAAAGGCCTGTCCTGCACAGCAGATTCAAAAGCAGGAGGTGGGATTGCTCTACAGGAAGAGAGCAGCACTTCCACAGTGGAGATGTAGGTTGCAGACGAAGGTTTGCAGCGATGGTCCCTGTATGACATTCTGAAGCTTAGTCCTAAATGATGCAAAATTCAAAGCCACAGAGCTTGCCTTTCCCCCTGTTCTTAAAATCAAGTCCTAATCCTTTTTCCTTTGGCACTGGAAATTTCCATTCTTCCTCTGAAGCAAAGGAATGAGAGTTGAATAAACATTCTCCAGGAATAAAAATGCAAACAAAAAAAAAAATCCACATTCAAAATAAAAAATCTCAGCTCTTCTAAAACTGCTACCACTGCTTGTCACGTCTGCAAAGCGATATGAGTGTGGGATGGGCTGAAGGATAAATTACGGAGCACACAGCTCTGCTCCCTGAGTGTTCTGACAGTGAGACTGCAGACAGAGTAGGAGGGAGCCAAAAGTGCCTGCCAGAGACAGCCTGAAAACTTGCTGTTATTTCATCTGTGAAAAAAAGAAAAGTGGCTAACCTGAGCAGTGGATCTGCTGCTGTGAAAGATCAGAACAGAGCAGAGAGTATTGGATGCAGTTTCTGCTCAAAGCAAAAGTAATGTTTTTCCTTCTTTCCCTTTTCCAGCTGTTAATTGTCTGCACTCTGCATGACGAGATCTCAGTCTGCAGCTTTTACAAGAGATTCCTACAGAAGTTCCATTCCATGGCACAACTGAATTAACAAAAAAAAAGATTTTGCCTAATTTTCTTCACATGTGCTCTATTTTCTTTAGCACAGAACAATGGTAGATAATATTTTGCAGAAATCTTTTGAACGCTTAAGTAACTTGGATGTAATATAAGATGCTGGCTTAAAGTCAAACCTGTCACAGTGGCACAGATAGCAAATGAAAGAGCAATTCTTAGTAGTAGTTCTTAGTTTAAAATACTCCTCTGTTACTTTCTTCCTCCCCCTGTTTCTTGCTTCTGGTCTATGGCATATGAAGTACAGCCAAACTAGCATTGAAAAATTATGGCATGCTTCCTTGCACAGACATTTTGCAGACATAAGAAGTGAAATGCACGTAACTGAGCCTTGACTCAAACACAAAAGTCAGAAGAAACGCAAAGGGTGGAGAGATTGCTTCTATTTCTTTGCCTGACAGGAATCCTTTTTGAATGTGTTCTTCCTTTTGTCCTTTCTGAAAGCAGCAAATGATGAAATTCCCATGGGAATATGGTTTGAGAGTCTTCAGCTGATGTCCTGGCTGAGCTTTGTTTTAAAAACATGTTTGAAAAAAACTGCTTTCCTATCATCCCACTTGTCTGTATCACTATGCAGCTACAGTTTAACTCTATTTAGTAGTAACAGAATTCAATCCAAAAGGAATAGAGTTCTCTTTCAAGAGTTCTTCAGCTGCAGAAAAGTGAAATACAAGTAGTGACTAAGGAACATCACTGTCAAATTGTTTATTCTGATCTACATGTCAGATGGCAGCAGCTGCAAAAAACAGCTTGACTGTAAAGTGTGGTCTGCGTGAAGAGCCATTGGAAGGGACAACCAAGTACACACATTTTACTGTTCCACCTTCCGGATGCTTTGTGTCAGTGAAGAAAACTGAGTACCAGCGTCCTTGGAAGTTCATAGAGAGGATACTATGGGAAAAAGATTCTGATAACAGAACTGCTCTTCATGGTCCTCAAGGTCACAATCTTCATTCTCAGGCTTTTTTTTGGCTGACGAAACTTCTGGTTTCTGATCCCACCAGGAGAATGTGCCTAGCTTCTGATGAACACCCAGCCCTTTTGTGGCAGTCTGCATCACAGCCTATGGCAATGGCAAATTCACCTGAACAAAGAAGTAATATGAAGTGCCACTTACCTATAGATAAAGTGCTGGGGCCGTACCAGGAATGCCAGGTGCATTACCCTTCCATGTATAAGTAATACAGACTTTTGCAACCAAGACTTGCAAGTGAGGGACAAAAAAATCCCCTACCTACATACAGTAGCTTCCCACACCCTGCATTACACAGAGTAAATCAGATGCTGTAGTGATAGTGCTTCTGTGTGTTGGCTGACATCCATTTAATGAAAAGAGAAAAAATACAGTGGGCAAACTTTTGTAGTGTTTACATTTTCCCTGATAAGCTCCTATACAGGAGCTTGACTGCTTGGTAGGGAATTGAGATAGATATAACGCAAATCATGTCATTTGCTTTATAAGCAGCAAATAGTGGGCAGAACTGTGCAATATTTTACACCTAGATGAAACTCTCTGCTTCATGTCACAAAATCCAGAATGCAGGTCAAACTTACCAAAATAGCCAACTATAAAGAATTATACAGTCATGCATTTCCTTCAAGGAAGGAGTAGCAGAAAGCTCCAGGCCCACGTACTACAAAGGGTTAAGTATCACTGCATGGCACAGCTCAGAGTCAGTTTCCAAAACGATTTAGTGCCAGTGGCAAAGCACTAGTGGAATACAGAGCTCAGTGCAAAATGAGAGCCATTATCTTTTGCTCTCAGTGGTCTTGGAGAATTGTTATTTTTCCTCAATGAAAAATGACCCAGAGGTGCAACCTCCTCCAGCAATGCACCAATCCTTCAGTCTGGCAACCTGCAACCCATTGGTATGGTTTGTATGCCAAGTCTCAGTACAATTGCAGCAATCTATCAATTCATGAATTTTCAGTGACTGCACTCAGTTTTGTAACAGCAAATGCCAGACCTTGAAATGGAACCTTTTGAAATAGTTACAAGAATCAAAGAAAGTACAAGAAAGACAAAATATAATTCAATAATGGTGAAAAAAAAAAAATCTATTTCAAGAGCTGCAAAATGCTTATAATAAGAACATCCTCCTGTCTCTTTGCATTGGTTATATCTGCCAACTTTTTTTCATGACAGGGCCTTTTTCATTAGCTCATTTTCCTCAACTGCATCAAACAGAAGTTAATACTCCTTAAAAATTCTTTAATTGTTGTTCTACACACTCCTATCAATGCCCTTGCAGAACTGAGAAGTCAATTCACTTTCCTGTATTAACTCACACTGCTGACATCCATTTTCCCCTTGTTGCATTTTCCCAGCATAACTCTCAGCCTGAGGTGAGAATTCTGGCAACACCTGCAAAGTAAAATCCCTTCAAACCCTCTTTACAATTTCCTTTCTCTTTGAATCCTACCAAATTTGCCAGTGGTTAAGCAGCTGGCAAGCTGAGATCTGTTTGCAAAGTGGACTAATATTGGACTCTTGTCTCCCTCTTCTGTTGTGATGCTATTATGTTCCCTCTTACGTATATTTGCAGTGAATTATCTTTCAGGTAAGGATCATCTGCTTGTTTCTGTTCCACACCTAAGCCCCATAAGAAAGGAGATCTTCTTGCACATTGCTACAGCCTCCAAGTGATACTACAACACAAAAAATACCAAAAAAAGAAACTATCTTGTCTGTACTTAGGCACGAGGATTTTAAGCTGTAGGTGAACACTAGTGGCCTTTTTAGTTTGAAAGAGTTCACATGCTTGAAGAGTTTTAACTGCTTATTTCAAGTTCATAATTTGCTCACCTCCTGTGAGTTCAGGAGCATGTCAAGGTGATCCCAATCCTTGTAGAACATTTGTTCTTGGTGTATTTTCTCCAGCCACTCCTTCTTCTGTCTCCATGCATTGTATACATTTTTCTTCTCTTCCGACAAAGCCTGTAGCTTCTGCTGAATCTGAAAAAAATTTCCAATTAAAAACTTCTGTTGATCTTTATATCCCATAATCTGGGTAAATTGACAGAAGAGAGGATTAAGTGGAGTGGATAATCCCTTTAAATTATAACAAATTATCAAATAGAAAAAAAAGAGAAGAACAAGTTCTAGCACTGCTGTTTGGGCAGAGAGATAATCAGAGGTGCCTCATTTCTGCAATGGAGAAGTGCTTCTTACAGCATATATAGCAGTCCAAACTGAGAGCAAACAAAGGTAACTGTTTCTCAGGTGTGACTTTTAGAATCAGATCCTAATTCTTCATTATCTTTAAGCATTAAGAGCACTATTAGAGCAGTTCAAACTTTTCAATGACAGATATTAAAATATATATTATCAACACAGCATATTCTTCTAGTCAGTGAATTCATGTCACAAAATCAGACTTCATACAACTTCAGCTTTCAAGCATTGTATATCCACAGGCCTTCTATGAATGATTTTTTCCCCCTGCCTTTTTCTACAGGCAAAGGACTTTAAAGTCAGCAAGATTGCTAGCTACCATAGTCATACAGTGCAGTCTTCAGCAAATTTTCAGGAAATAGCTTGGTGAGATGGAAGAGTAACTTGCACAAACTGCATTTTTCTGAAGGTATTCAAGTGACGTATTAATGAATTATCAAGGGAGAAATAAGCTGGTAGGTACTGGAAAAGAAATAAGTGCTGTGAGAATCTTAGAAGCTATTTGTCTAGAGTAAACTGACATTTTGATTTAAATCTTTCATTTCCAGGGAGTATATTTTACTAGTGTATATTTACTAGTGTAATTTTTTTTTACAGAAAATGTTTCAATCAATCTTTAAACTCTCTCATATGTTTGAGTGTTTTCATTCTTTGGTTGACAGGATTTTGTCCAGGCTGTCCTAGTGTGGGTATACCACTGCAATACAAAGTGTAGCATTTATGTGAAAATCCAGTTTGGGAAGTTGGCAGAATTGACTCCATGGCTCAGAAGATGGTGAACTTCTTGAAAAAGTCCAGCTTTGCTGCAGGACACCTTCAGGAGATGCCTCCACACATCTGCTGCTGGAGTTAGACATGGAACAGATGTTTTTGTGCCCAAGACAGGTAACATACTGAGGCAGACCTAGATAGGTCAGGCACAGGGACAAGTGAGTGTACACTTGTATCTCACACTGGGATACAATGCAGAATCACAGTTACACTGGGGTCCAGTGCTGAATATGTATGACTGAGCTCTTTTTTCAATTACCTCTTTTGATGGCATTTCCTCATCTTGCAAGAGGGACTGTCCTAGCTGTACAACATGACTGTACTTCTCTTCTCGTGCTTCAATCTCTGCCAGTAGCTGTTGATGCTGGGTGAGTCTCAGGCTGCTGGTAGATATGTCCCGAATAGACTCCTTGGCTCTCATTTCCCTTATTATTTCTGCTGTCCATAAGAAATAGTCCCACACCTGGAACCCGAGAAAATATGAAAATTAAGGTTAAATATGAAAATATGAAAATTAAGGGCTCAAGCTTAGGTTAGCAGGCAGGAAAATCATAGGCTAACTCTTCAACTTTAACTGAATAATAGGTAATAAAATCATAGATAAATTAAACATGTAATTAGTGCTTGCAGTATTTATATGAATTTTATAACGATGGATAACACAACTGTAGGAATTCCTATATACTGTGTTACATGGTTTTTAGTATCATAATCAAACTGTCACATCATATCAGTGACAGCATGATATCATTTATTGCTCTTTAATTCATATTTATTAAAGTATTTTCTGATGTTATTCCCTCATAAAGGATAAATAAGTATCATCCTACATTTCTGTGAAAGCTTTGGCTAAAATACAAGTTTATTTGAAAATTAGGTTATGCACATATTCTAAAACAAGAGTGAGAATTTTCAGGTGAAAAACAAATGCACTCTAATAGAAGTGGGAAAAGGGTAAATCACAGGTCAGGAGAAATTGCATAAGCATATCATATATACAGATTCAGCTCTTGGTTTGTGAAACTATAGGACTGAGATTGGGAGGAACAAGTATGTCGTTCCAGCTTACTTTCAAAATCTGATGAACCAATAAATACATTTGCAATAACTTTAAATGTTTGAAGCAATTATGAGCATGAAAATGCTAAAACAAATCCCTGAGGTTTATTTTTTTACTGTGATTGAGGAAAACTGCAAGTAAAAGTAATTTGATGTTCTCTGAATGTCTTTTTCTTAATTTCATTCTATATCTTCAACAGACTCTTACTTTAGGCATTTTATTTGAATCTGCAGTAGGAGTTTTGCTCTTGTGTCAGTTAGTAAAACCTAGGGCTGTGAGTGATATACAAGGGATTATAGATGATGATTAAAGTTTCTTTTAGTTTAACTATATCTGGATTAGTTGATTCAATTTTTAGGTCTTTCGGGTTTATAAAATATTTTTAAATGCTATTATTTATATTAAATGTTGAAGAAAAATTCTCTTTTATTGCAGAAAACTAATTTTTTTAGTTACTCTTTTAAAATGGTTGCTGGCTTTTTCACTGAAGGAAACTATGTAATGGAAATAGATTCTTGGCTGCTCCATTCTACCCATAGATTTTTGTTCATATCATGAAAATCTCGTAAAGACAGCCAGGAAAAAAAAATTCAGAAAAGCACCACAAAATTGAAACTGGCCAATCTGGGGTCCTGACTTTAGGCTTTAAAGGCAAGATACTGCTTTTTTTAAAGCCAGTGAACACTACTAAATGACTCTTTAAAAAGACTGACCCTTTTAAAGGGGCCCATGGTAGTACACGTGTTGGCATAATTTCCAATTGTAGAACTACTTCATTCACACAGCTGGATGTCACTGTAGACACTGCCATTGCATTTGGCACTGCAAATGTCTAAAACTCCCTGAGACTTTGAGCTAAGCATTAGTAAAAAAATCCATAAGCCTCAGGATATATAATTCCATGGGACAAGTCAAGAGCTAGTAAGAGGTTACTGGACTACCACTGCCAGCAATATTTAAGGATAGAGTAGGCACCAGTCTGCACAAAACTCCTAAGCAGAGCCTGACTCTGATTGTGCAGATCCTAGAACAAACTTCAGAATAAAGCCTCAGATCATTCAGAAATATTCTGAGTCTGTGTCTACCCTCATCTTCCTTGACAAATTTCCATGGAAGAACTGAAGCCCTCTGCTGTGCTGTGTGTTGTCTGTTAGGCTCAGCTCTGCTTTTTAATTACATTAAAATCGTACTCTAGGTGTAAGGAGATACACTAGATGATTGTGCAGAATTCTCATTTTATGGAAACTGATTTTTTTGTTTGTCTCACTTAATCTGTGCATAATTTTTAAATGAAAAAGCATATATGTACTGCAAATGTACAATATAATGACAAAGTTCTCTGAGCAGCTCCTGCCTTGTCCTATCTAGGCAGGAAGACAGGCTTACCAAATTGCAGAACCAGCCCTTCACTTCTTCAGGAATTATTGTCAGGAAAGGAGGTGAAAATTGAGAGGATTGGGAATACTTTTTGCCATCAGCCTGACATCAAAGAGACAGGGAGTTGCCTGAGGCATAGTCCTGTCTAGACACATCACTGAAAATATGGTTACATGGCTTTGTCATTTTGTTTTATGATGTCAAGAGTAATGAAGATCAAAAGACACACTGGCAGAGCAAGACATGAGCTATAGATTTGTCATTCAGATCACAGGATGTGTCACACATTTCAGGCAAAACTCAAACCAAAGGTATTTTGTATCATTCTAGCAATAAAAATTAGACTAACACTCCCACAGGATGGGGACAACCTAACATTTTTTATCTGAAGTCAAAAAATGAATTTATGATGTAAGCTATGAAGTAAATCAATAAAGAAGTAAACTCTGAGTGACTACATTTCAATTATCAAATACACCAAGATCCACCTCCTGATGAAAATGCCTCCAGGCTGAAGACTTCAAGAATGCAATATATGATAGAAGAATACATTCTAAAAGTTTGCCTCATTCTTCCTATCAGTCCTAGATACTGCTAGAAAGACAGTGGGCAAATGAACTTTTCCCCTACATCAGTAGAATCACACGAAATTTCCCCATCAACAGTTCTGCACATGATAATGATACATGTAAAAATTAAAAAAAAAAACAACCCAAGAAAACCCTCAAAAACCCCCAACTGCCATAAACATCCTTTATCTCTAACTATATAATATTATATTACAATACTGATTTAAACACTTGTAAGAGATTTAAAGTGGATTAATTGAATATGCAGATGACTCTCATGCTAGGAAAAAAGAATCATGTACACTCTCTTGTGATCTTGATCCCAGATCACAACTCTAAGACAAACCTGTAGCAAGTTTTTTCCAGGTGAACATACTCTGGGCACTCCTTGCTTCCCACTAAAAATGGAAGCAGAATGTGAACTACCAGAAGTATCTTGATTTGACACAATAGTTACACTTGGAACAGTTCAAGAATAAAAGAATGTAAAAGCATTCTTGAAATCTGCATTAGCAACTCCCTTCATGATATAAGGGGATACTCTTGCTGGTTTAGCACCTGCAATGCTTGCAGCAATAGTCTACTGATCTGCAGAGGTGTAGCTCAAGTGCCTTCACTGAGGCTACTGACATTTGCAAAGTATTCCATAGCAAATCACAGCTCAGTGGCCTGCTGAGTTCTTTGGAGATGAAGCTACTGTGCATTGCTGATTATGATGCTGTGCTGATATATCCATGTTTGAGCAGCTTGAGAGGTTAGTGCAAAAATCATCGAGTTGTATTTGATACATTCCATAAGGTAAGTTAACCAAGGGTTATTGTATGCCCTGAGAGAGAGAACAAACTTTTATGCTTTATAAATGGAAGAGTAACATCTCTTTTTGTCACTTTTACTCAGTGGAAATTGCAAAGTCTTTGAGAAGATTACTGCTACTCTTGCAATGCTGTGACTGCTTCTGACAGCTGACATTCCTTATACCTCTGGATGGAAGCTTCTATTCTTACAGAAGATAAAAAAAATCCTTATCCTACAAAAAAGATCCTTATCCTCTAACTCCTTTCTAAATATCAATGAGCACTAAATGCTTGATTGATAAGACAGAGAACACTTGCAGCCTTTTCCAGCTTGGAAGTTCACCTCTGATTCACACCCACTGCAGGCAACCTTCCCTAAGCAGCGAGGGATAAAGGGCAGATGTGCTTACATGTGCCTGAAATTCATAAAGCTTGTAGGCTTGTTCCAGGAGTCTCCTGCGCTGCTCCACTTTGGCCTTCAGGGCCCTCCAGCTGGTCACTATTGCCTGCTGCTTTGCCTTCAGGTCTTCCACCTGCGTCTGGGAGCAGTGGGGCAGCACGCGATCTGCAGAGCGGGTCAGCTCCTGCAGCTGTACACAGGGGGTGCAAGCAGAGAGTAAGAAGGAGAGCATCATGGAGATTCTGCTAAGGGCTGTCTTTCTTGTACATGAAAATACAATTCAAGCAACTTTTCCTGACTTAACTTTTCTCATATTAAACAAAAAATTTTATAATCACTGTTCTATGGAGAAATAGTGACATCCAGTGTCTGCCAAGGCTCATCACAACAGTAATTTTTCAGAGGCAGATTTCAATTTCCCTTTATTACCATATCATTTATTATATGAATAATGAAAGTACTATTATAATTGCTATTATAATTCAGGTAATAGCCAACTATTCCTTTTTTTACCCTCATTGACCATACAGCTTAACTGTGGCTACATTCTCTTCATGCATGTCTCATGCTTTTTTACCCTCAAAAGTAATAAGAAGCTGATGGGATCAATTCTGATGTTACTGCCCAGGGCCAAAATATTTGAGGCCATTGATAAGTAGTACTGCAATAAGTTCAGTAATCTCAGTATAACTCATATAACTTTTTTCTCACAGTCCAATTTGTACCAATATTAATTTTCTCCACACATTAAACAGATTCTGGATTTTTCCTTTTTATCTCTTAGAACACTTTGAAAAAGACAATACACATATCACAAAGCCTATCATAATCCTACATTTTAAACCATGATCAAAAATATACCTGTGAATCACTTCAATAGTCAGTAGTAATTACAGTATGTGCCTTATTTGAAAAGTTGTAATTACCTACTTTATCACTGCCATCAGACCGTGACTATATTAAAAAAACCCAGAAAATGAAGGAAAATCCAGGCTTTCTGTGAGAGACAGTAATAATTTGGTTCACAATACAAAATTATTATTATGCTTATCTTGGAAACTTGAACTTTGGCTACACATTGAAGACCACAAATGACTGTCATTACCTGCTGCTCATTGCCAGAGAGCTCGTGCTCCAAGGCCACATGGTTCCGGAGCTGGCTTTGAACACCTGTCATGTCCTTAGCCACATCATCTGGAATACTTTTGGACTTCTCCTAGAAAGAAGAAATAAAAGAAAGCTTTGGGTTTTTCCCCATTTCTAAGCAAAACTCACTACAAGCCTACATTAAATAATACTGGGTACTGTAACTCATACTGCACACTTGAGGACATTCTGAATTACTCAACTATGATAGTTAAAAGGAAGCCAGAAAAATCTCTCCTAGTAACTCACTTAATGGCTAAACTATTCAAATGGACTGTTAGAAAGGAAGATATGTGTCTTTCCTTGATCAGACAATACAAGAAAATATCTTACAGGTTTTGTGTTGGGAATCAATCTTGAATACCTACTGCAGTGACAGTAAATTCATAAAAGTAGCCATTAACAAGCAACAGTTTCAGTCCATTCTTTGAGATACAGGTGGTCTTCCTGTGAACAATCTTTAGAGAAAGTTTTGGTTATAGTTGCACAAGATGCAGAAGGGGAAGGACCACTACATAAATGGAAACCTAAATATTTTTTTAATTCAGCAAAGGTTCTGAATGGATGTAGTTGCTACCCAGACATGCATTGGAAATGCACGCAAAAAGAAAAGGCATTTCAGCTGGACAACAGAACTGTCACTAAAATTATTAGAAATTTGTTTCAGATCAGTTTAGAAAAAATTAGAAGAACACTTCTTACCATTGAAGAACTGAATTTCTGCAACAGAATAACAGGCTAGCTTGGGATACCAACAATGTGTCTTGGTAAGGTGCTATAAAAGGAGACACATGTTGTAGTTGCCTATACTATGATGGCAGTGGAGCTGATGACTTAAGCAAATCTTCTAGTACTTTGTTCCTCTGAGAAGGAAGGCTTTCCTACCAGGTTTTCCCTGGTAGTCTTCTGACCAGGGTGCACAGGGAGGGATGGACGAGATGACTGCTCTCCCTCCCTGGAGTGAAGCTGTTAACAAGATGCAACGCAAGAAGGGTGTAGTGGTTGCCTGGACCAAACTCAGCATGGAGATAAACCAACAGCTGGTCTGTGAAGTGTTTCTGAACCCTTACTTGTCACTGTCTCAGCATTAACTATTTAACCAGTGAAGTTAAATAAGCACCAGGTTCTGAAAATCCCAGCCGGTAAATCGTGAAATACTATGTTTGATTTTCTCTTCATGACAGGGGAAAAAAACAGGAATAACATGATTGAATGGGGCAGCCTCTGCCAGCACAAACAAGTAGAAAATTCATCACGTGTAACCAAACAAAGACCTGTTGCCTTGCAAACAGTGGAACCCCTTGGATCACTGCCTCCTGTAAACATCTGCGTTAGGGAAACCACACCTCTCATTACAGCAAGGATGTGGTTTCTCTGTGAAACTCTTCAGGATGTTCAGATAAAACAGAAGGATGAAGATTTCTTGGGGGGACTTTCCTGCTGGGACTGTTTGAAATTATTGCCAGTACTGGGCACTGGAATGAGAGGAAAAGATTTTTGGCTCAGCTTTTCACATCAGGTCACATGATTGCCTGACAACCTTCCAGGCTAATGGTTATTGCAATCCAAACAAATGCCTTTTTCAGAGGAGAATTCTTCAGCACACATAAAACTACAACAGTATACAAAGAACCACCATAGTAAGGCAGTAGTTTCTTAGGGCTGATGACTGTAAACAAAATCACTCTATGCATTGCACTGTGAGGCACCTTAGTGCAAACACTGGTCTTCTCAGCTTTTCCCACAGATCAGCAACTCCAGCTTCACCTGGTTTCACCAGTGGTTCTCATAAGGTAACCAATCAAGTGTCTAAGGATTACCCAGAATTTCTTTTGATGCTATGAGTCATCACACTGGCTTATTGCTGATTTTTTTTTTTAAGTCAGCAGTATGAATGCTGAGAATCATAAGAATATTCCATAGAAAAAGCTGAAATAAAGTTTGCATTATATGAGATTTTCCTATTAATTTTTACCTCAATATGGGCCAGGGCATCTGTCAGATCTTGGTAACACTTGTGAATCGCCTCAGCATCTCTCAGCTGCTCACCTCGTAATCTGGTCATTTCCAACAGTTCCTCCCAAGAGTTCCTTCAAGGTAGAATGGGAAAAAGAACAATGTAAAACTAGGAATAAAGGAGACCATCAGTCTAAAGAAAGACTGAAAACAAAATGTGTTCTTGCTTTAATTCCTGCCTTTAAATTCTGTTGGAGTGATTCACTGAATGGCAGCATGTCTCTCAACCTACTCTGTCCTCCTGTCTGCTCCAGGAACTTAAAGAAATGGTCCTATTCAAGAGTTGCCCCCTCAATTGCACTTTTCAGGTTTCATATGCAGTACTTGGAGGACTGAGTCATAGAGTCATAGAATATCCTGAGTTGGAAAGACCCACAAGAATCATTAAATCCAGTTTTAATGGACTGCACAGAACACCCCAAGAATCACACCATCCATCTGATAGCCTTGTCCAAACACTTCATGAACTCAGGGTGATGTGACTGCTTCCCTGGGGAGCCTGTTCCAGTGCCCAACCACCCTCTGGGTAAAAAACCTTTTCCTAATATCCAACCTAAGCCTCCCTCAGCTTCAGGCCATTCCCTTGGTCCTGTCACTGGGCATCACAGAGATCAGTATCTGCTCCTCCCCTTCCCCTCCCCTCACAAGAGAGCTGTAGACTGCAGTGAGGTCTCCTCTCAGGCTTCTTTTCTGCAGGCTGAACAGACCAAGTGACCTCAGGCACTTCTCATATGAAGGGCTTCCCCTCAAGGCTCTTCATCATCCTCAAAGCCCTCCTTTGGACAGTCTCTGAGAGTTTAATACTGTCTCATACTGACCAAAGCTGCCTACAAATACACTTGTCCTCTGGGCCAGTTTGGACTGATGCCAGAGCTAAAAAGCTCTGAGCATCTTAATGTTATTTTGCAGAACAGTGCTGGGATTCAATCACAAAAACAAGAAGAAATAAAAAGCATCTAAACTCCACACCTGTCAGCTGGTGATCCTGTTTCAAAGAGCAAAGGAAGTTCACCTTGTAAAGCACCTCCAAAGCAATTTTCAAGAAGCCAGAGCAGCAAGTAGATGATGTTTATTTTTAGATGAGGCTGGAAGCAACTCTGTATTAGTGAGCAAACCACATAGTTTGCAGTTAGCGAATCAGGAGAACATGGCTTATCCCTTCCTAGTTTCTTGTTACTTCCTCCTCCTTGAGAGCAAATGGAAAGCACAAAGCATTTTAGACCTAACACAAGGCTCCTACCTTAGCTGTTTCTGCATCTGCCGAATTTCCCAGGACTCAGAATAGCCTTGGTTCAGCAAGTTGTCTGCCAGCTGCTGGAATGCCACAACTCTTTTCCCAGCCGCTTCCAACTGATGTCGGAATGTATCATATTTGGCACAAAGTTGCTTTAGAAGGGAAAACAAGAATAATGAGAAAACCCCTTTTGAGTGCTCTCTTCTTCCAAACATAACTGCTCATCAGAACACAGCCCAAAAAACAGGTAATAAGCTGATAATACTTAGAGATGGAGAAACTGCAGAGAATGACTGGATTCTACCTTCAAAGACCATGAGAAGATTCAAACTCTTAGCAAAATATGAGGTTTGTGATGCAGATGGGAGGCAGAAACATTATTACTGGGGATAGGAACAAAAATTCTATGTACAATGAATTTCAATTATAAAACTATGTGTTTTTACTTAATGAATGCAAATGTGTATTCAGTACTGCAAATGGATAATGTAGCCTGATTTTAAGGTTTAGGACTATTTTGAAAGCTATTTTGAAATAAATTATAAAATGAAGATTCTGAATGGCTGGTGATTTGTAACTGGTTGACATTAGATTGGTTTCTATGCCATGTGAAGAGATATACCTAGAGAGTTTGGTGTATATTAGCAATCACAAATTTAAAAAAAAATAGGAAAAAAAATCCTAAATGGATACCATACTGACATATATACTTATTAAAAATAGAAAATATTTGCTCATTGAAGGTGTAGACATTTTAGCATGCAGTTGTTTCAGACAGCTCAGCCCTCATGGTAACAGGGTGCAATGCTGCCTGTCCTTCAATCCTTCCCATCCACTTCACCCTTTTCTCTTCCCATCTTCCAGTTATTTATACTTATTTCTTACTTGATTTTTAAGTTTTCAAGGACAATCTTAGTATCTGTTTACAATATCACTGCATACAGTACATTTGATTTTTTTAATCTGTTACTCAAAAAACTCACCAAAACATGTTCGTAATCATTTCCATAGTCTTCAGAGCTGGCTGTTTGTTTCTGCTGAGTGATCCAGTCTTCCAGATCTTCATATTCTCGTAGAAACTCATGCAAGACAAGAGTTTGGTCAAGCTTCTTCCCTCTATTGGGGGAAGGAGACAAGATAATAAAATTATGTTATAATATAAGAGAAGGGCTAGCAAGAACTTTCTTCCAATGAATCCCCAAAACCTCTCACCATCAAGACTCAATGTCTGCAATGGAAGAGCTGATTATTTCTCAGATTTGGAAATGATGATTGTAGGATGACAGCTGTCAGCCAGGTCATGCTCATCTCATTAGCTGAATTTCCCAGAAGAGCACTGTGCCTATCTGAGCTCTTTCTCTGCTCTGTTTTTGACTTTGGTTGGGATTTGTTGTTATTATTTTTGCTGTTTTTTTTTTTTTTTTTTTTTTTTTCCCATGAGAAAGAATACCCTTTCAGATCTGTCCTGATCTGTGTTTCTAAAGATAATTGAATTGCTTATGAAAATGAGAAGGAAGTATTTCCTGAGCATCAGGAAAGCAAATGCTATGAAAGCCTTTGGATGCAATTCTCATATTGCCTGTTTGGTAGAATTGCTCCAACCTGTTATATATTTCCAAAGGTCTAGATTATTTTATAATTCAGCCAGACATGTTACAGGGCTTCAACTGCAAAAAAAAAAAGATATCAATTTTCCATCTGCTAGCCTGCCACTGTGCAAATATTCCAGGAAAGAAGAATGTGGCTTCCCAGTTTGAGCCACAAATGTTCATCACAAGAGATGTAACTTGTTAAGAGTCCGGCCCAAGGCGAATGCAGATGAGAGGTGCAAACCAGAGCACCAATAAGACACCACAAGACCCAGGTTAACATTTAGAAAGAATGAAAACAAAGTGTTTCTGTGTTAAACACACAGAAATCTTTTGATATTTCTAGATTATTTCTTTTTCTGAACTATTCATTCACAGGTTTTTCTATAGATACTTTTACTTTTTCAACTGTAAACAAGATTAAAACTGAAAGGTAAAATAACAGCATTTTATTTAGGTTTAATTATTCAGATTAATTTATTTGTTACTCTGCTTGCAGAGCCCTCTTCCTTTTCTGAGTGAAATTTTTGTGGGGGAAAAATCTAAGTTGGTCAGACATATTTTCCTTTCTGAAAACAAACTAGAAGTGTTAAAACCCTTTGTACAAACCAACTGTCCTGTTGTAAATATGTTGCTGTAATAATAACTGAAAGAAAGTGAAATTAAAAGTAAATGATTAATTCAAGAATAAAAGCCTTCCTATAGTAGCACAATCACTGGGCATATAAATAAGTGTATCCATTATTGTCTCCCTTAAAATATGTAAAAATAAAGTAATTTTAAAGTAACATTAAGGGAACATTCTAAAAACATTTTTCCTATTAATAGCAGATTCTAAATACCATAAATGCAAGCCAGAATCTGGCACCTTAAGTCACTTTACAGGAAGATTATTAAAGATAAAGAGGAAATTAATAGATATAAAATCCTTAATATGTAGCAAAACTCCTCAAATAAATTGTAGCAGTCTTGTTTAGTAAAATAAAAAGTTCATAAATGCACAGAAATATAGAAACAAGCAATTTCCTAATTCTAATTAAAAGAAAAGGAGATAAGATAATTTTATTATAAAATTATAGAAGTAAAACAAAACTAGTAGCAACAACAACAATATAATTATAATTAATATCTGATTTATAATATAATGAATATAAATTCCAGTGAAGTAACTGGAGATATCCTTTATTGATTTCAGTGGATTTGAATCTAATCTAGGATCCAAGTGGGAGTTCTGGTTTATACCTTGCTACTGCTAGCTCCTGTAACTCCTGGAGTCTTGAATGAACTTGTTCCTTTGGTGCATCAACCTCAATATACTGGATGGAGCCCACAAGAGGAAGAGTTTGGGCACTTTCACTCAGTTCTTTCAACAAATCTTGGTAAATGGCAATCTCATGCTCCAGTGCCTGACAAAGAATAACAGTGCATTGAGAGTCAGTTGTCCACAATAGCCACTTCTTGTGAACAACCTAGGGTGTAGTGATTGAAAAAGAAATACTTTTGGGAAGGGCATGACATTTCCAAGACCTGATTAATTTTAGATTATTTTCTAGCAACATTTAAAAAAATGCACAGAAATTCAAACAAATTAGATGAATAAAGACAATTAGAATTCCCTGATGGAATATTAGGTAGAGAAAAGTATTCCTGGATTAACACTTTATCTGTATCTTTGATTTTAGGAAAAAATTATAAGACTTCTGCATCCATCTGTTGAAACTGAAAAGCAGATAGTCAGATTTAGCCTCAGAGGAATATGAGAATATTCACCATCCTCCTTTACCCCCAGACTACGTTTTACTAACCAGGTTAGTCAACTGCACTGATCTCTTCTATCAATCTATCCATATGTAGACTTATGTCATTGCAAAATCTTGTAGATAGCTGGGCACTCAACTACCAATGAGACAAACAATTTTATGCCTGCAGAGAGACCAAAATATCAGACTAGCCTACAGAATTTAGGCAGAGAAATACCTTATGTTTCTTGATGAGTTTTAGTGTTCCATCTTCATCTTTACCGTAGTCCTTGCTTGTCACGAGTGGATATTTTTCTGCTATCCAAGCCTCCAGATCTGATGTATTCATTAAAAACTATCAGTTAAAGAGAAAACAAATGAGCTTCAACTTTCAAAACATTCATTACATTTTTTTCTTACTTAATAAATTCTAAATAAATGGTGCACTGTAAAAGCTTACTGTAATGTTTTATTAAGTATTTAATTCATTGTTCTCTGTGAAATCACAAAATAATGATGGGGCCACAGATGGAAGACTTCAGTGCAGGATAACTAAGTGTATAATATCAGTGGGATGTTTCTCCCTCCTCTGCATGAGAAGTTCAAATCACTGTAAGAATCAGGCTTCATAAAGTCTACAGTACTGACAAGTGTTTTCATATACAGAGAAAATAAAGGCCGGATGATTGAATATCCCAGCAAACATACTTTAGCTGGGCCTATGAACTCCATGCAAATGCTGTTTATTTTAACAAAATTGTATGTGCTATCTGAGTAACTGCACTCCTAAATGATCCACTGATGACAGAAAATTTGGATTATCAATATAAATATTTGCATGGAATTTCTAGGGGTTTTTTTAACAAGCTAAGCATGAAGGTCAAGACGCCTATAGAAAAGAATAAAGTCAAAATCCCTAACTTGCTCTGAGAGTAAATGTATATTATCTGTTCCTCAGTGTCATTTTATTGCCTGGAAAATTGTTGTGCGAAACAGGTAAAGAATGGATAGCACAAGAAGTCCCCTCTTTTCTGATTTCCATGTCATAATTCTCCAGTATGAAGGGCCAGTTCGGGATCCATTACATTAATAAGTCAAAGCCTGAGACTGTTTAAAGACACAGAGAGAGGAGCTACTACTGGGAGAAATGTGTGCTCTGTGCACAGCCATATGGGATGGGTACAGAACCCAAGGGAAGCCTCTAGAGCAGCAGGTCAAGAGTGAGGGCTACATTCAGCTATGCAGTCCAGCCCCCATTCCCATGAGCCTGGCCTCAAGAAGCTGAAGAGAATACCAGTCCTACTAAAGCTGTTTTTTTTATTCACTTTAACACTTTGGTCCTCTTGTTTGTCTGAAGAAGCTACTGTGCAAGCTCTTTGCTTTAATTTGTACCTCCTGAAAGCCAACTGAATGCTGCAGCTGCTTCATCCTTTCCTCACAGGATTTCTCCAAGCCCTGCCAGGCAGTCACAAGCTCCTGGCATTTCTCACTTATTTTCTGAGCTGATGGGTGCTGGCCTACAATCATTGTCTTTCCTTTATCCAGGATCCGCTGGACTTGCTGTTTGTGGGCATTCACTTCTGCCTGCAGTTCCTGGGAATGAGATAAAAAGAAGATACGTGAGGACAAGTAAACTCTGTGTGCTCCTAATCCTAAGCAAAACTGGCAGCTGGTGAGAGTGGGCACAGTACAACAAGTGGACACCAGGACTGTCGTATTTCTGCTATGCCTGCAGCCTCAGTCACTGGTGCCAGCCCCACTCACATAATGCTCTGCTCTTGGTACTGCCACTGAGAGAGGAGGGAAGGATGTGTAAGGAAGCAGAACTTTCCTGCGAAGTTCTCTCTTCACCATGCTCCCACCCCTTCCCCTGTCCAGCAGCCATGGAGGTTTGGGAGAAGGAGCAGATCACAGGATGAGACACAAAGCCGGGGGAATTAGAAAAAAATGTTGAGCTGATGATGGAAAAATAGAATATCCAAGACAATGAAGGGGCTGAAGGATGCAAAGAGAGACATTGTGATCAGTACCATGAAAACTATTGGACTACTGCTCCATAAATCCTCCCCACTGGTCTTATAAGCATTCTTGTGAAACTTGCAATTAAGGTGCTGCATAATCCAGCATTGCTTGTGCTGGACAGCTGAGGTGCCACCCCGGCTGTAGGGAACTGCTGCAAAGAACTGAACTCCCTAGAAATGAGTATTAACCTGTCCTTATAAATAGACTGACTGTTGCTTGTTCAGATCATTTAAAAATCTGTAGAGATTTAAGATAATTGCTAAATGCCTGTTATATGCTCTCCTAGAAAATCCCAGTATGCACAAACTTCAATATAGAATGTATCATGAAGCCATAAGAAGAAAACTACAACAGTTTTATTTAGTTTACTCTTTTCTATTTAGTGTCAAATGCACTGTTTTTTTGTTTTGTTTTGTTTTGGTTTTTTTTATCCTTTTCTAATGGGAAGAGCTATGCAATTTCTCACATTAATTATACTCCATAATCTGACAAATTTTGCAGTTCTTACAGGAATGTTGTGTTTCTTCTGAAAATCATCACCACTCTGTTGATTTGTGACAATCCACCGAACCATTTTAGCTGGACCAGAGCTGGAATCAGTGAATGTACTCATTTGGAAGCTTTGACTGTGCAGGGGTGGATGCAGGTCTGTAGGCTGAGCTGAACTGCAGTGAGCAACCATGCTATGAAGCACCTGATTAAAGGAGTTACCTTGTGCTTTTGCAACAGGTTTTGAGCCACATCCAAGGACTTCCCACAGTTGGTGGAATGGGCAATAGGCAAACGCTCATTGATCCAGGTCAGTTCCATGTCATGATAATGGTAGAACTCATAAAGATCCACAGCAGCTTCCAGCAGCTTATGTCTCTCATAAAGAGGTGCTTGCAAAGACTCAAACCTAGGGGTCATCCATTAAATATATGTTAAAACACAGCTTTATCCTCATTCTTCCAAGGGAATTAGTCCACAACACCACCGTGGAGATTTCAAAACACTAGACAGTTCTTTGCAATTAAGTTTCAATAGTTAGTTCTGGCTGCATGTACAAGGATCCCTTGGCAAGCAGGCCTATATGATAACACTAAATGTAAGCAGAGAAAAAATTATTTACACATTTCAAGTCCTAGGCTTGTCCTGTGATGTCTTGAATGCTGGATCACTGTACCTCTTACAAAGCAGTGGATGACCTGTGGATAAGAAAGGGACGAGAGGAGGAGTGCAGCTGGCAAGGAGCAATGTCCAGTCATTAAGGTTGAGGTGCACCAACAGGAAGCTGTGTAGATGCAGATCCAACCACAGTTGTGCTACAGCTGGGAGAAGAAATCTTTCCTGAGTATGGGTTAAACTTAATCAACCAAGAGAATTTTTTAGAAGGTAGAATAAAAAATGCTATTTGACACAAGAGGTGGGCAGAGACAAGAAACAGAGGGACACCATACCTTTTCAGGTATTTCTGTGTTTCATCCAGAATCCTCTGGGAGTCAAAGTGATTGGTGGCCATTTTCCTTGCATGAGATACAATGGCATTCATTTTCTCTGCCAGCTCACGTGTCTCATTTTCCAGCTGTCTGTGCTGCTTGAGTAGATCACGGCTGGAGCGCAAATCATGGCCTGTCTCAGATTCCTGAAGAACTTTCTCTATTTTTTCTATCTTCTTTTTGGCATCCTGCCAGGAAAAGATCACAGCACATTCATACTGTCCTTTCAATAACATTTTTTTACACTCACCCCCTCCTATGACAGCCTCCTGGACATAGTTTTTAAATCCAATTGTCTTTTCTTGGTAACATGATGTCTGGATATCTCTAAGAGACATCTTCTGGGAATATTTTGTTTTTTGAACTATTTTGGAGTACTCTTCTCTCTGTGACACTAAAGCACATCATTGAAAACAGTCTGAAATATCTTCAGCAACATAATGTAAAAGAGTCAATATTCAAAGACTTCAGATAGTAGCTATAACTCAAAAGCAGTTCCATTCATAATGGTCTCAAAACAGCTTCACAGCATATTCTCTTTGTTACAGAATTTGGATGACTGTGTGCTTAATACAGTGCCACGCCTGCAGCCCCAGACTGCCTCCAGGCACAGTTATGTTTGCACAGCATTGAGCCCTACAGAGTTTGGGTTGTTTTCCCAGTACAGGATGGCCACACAGATGCAGTGTTGAGCCTGAGTTCAACAGCCTGATGCTTCACTGGCATTATTATCATGCTCATAACTTTGAAGTAAGCTTGGGCAGCATAATACTGAGGTTTCTTTCCTGGGACTGTAGACAGAATGGAGACCTTAAAAACCACTTCTATCTGGATGGTATTCTCTATTATATGATGTCCACACAATAGAGGAACCAGGCTCCTAGGTCATTCCTCCCCTCTGTTCCTCATGACTTCCTGACCTGCAGCAGTTCCATGAGCTGTTCCTGCTGTCCAGCTTGTCTCAGTTTATCACCTCTCTCTATCATCTTGCCATACAATTCCCTCCACTTCTTTTTGAGCTCTGACATCTTCTCCTGGACAGAAACTGCAGCATAGTGGTTGTCTTCAATCAATTTATTTCCTTTCTGGAGAAACAGAGTGCATCACTTTATTAGCAGTTAGCATCTATGAATTTTGGTACAAGATGGAAAACCTAGCTCCAAAGTTGCCTTCACCTTTATCAGTGTTGTAAAGTGCTCCTCATTAGCCAACATTTCCTTCTCAGCAGCCTCATGCCACTTCAGCTTGCGCAGAACATTTGTTGGATCACGATAGGATTCATCTGATGCGATCTTGTACTTCTCTTCCATCCATATCAAAAGCTCAGCAGCATCACGATTAAACTCCTTACAGAAAACAAACAGGATTAAATTGATTTAATTAATGAAGAAGTAGGATCTTAAACTATAGATGAGGTTTTAAGCCACCATAATATCTCTTAGTCCCTTTTTTACCACATTTACTAGTCTGTTTCCTGTAATTGTCAGTGAAGTTTTGCATCATTGATAGAATATTTTAACCAGAAGAGGACCTCCAGTATAACTTCATATCTCAGCATAGAAACTAAGTTTGGTGCCAAAACTTTGATTAACTGTACTAAGATATTGAGGCCCAGAACAACAGTAAGTAATGAGCAGAATAAATTTAACCAGTAGACAAAACATTCTGTTGATATTTTTCATTCAGAATCTCCTTTTTTTAAAAGATTTTCTATGGATATAGCTTTGTAAGTTTTATTACCAGTGCATCATCTGCTCCCTGAAAAACAAAGCTCTGTCCCACAGCCAAAGAGAAAGTGAGCTGCAGTAGGAATGCTCAGCAGTTTGAGGTTTTTTCTCGTATTAAGACAAGGGGTGAAATTCCAAATTCACACATGCCTGACCAAATCTGCATTATCAGTTACCTGTAATTGTAGGGAATCCAACAACCTCTGTTTTCGCTTGGTATTGCTTTGTATCAGCTGCTCCCACCTTCTCCGGAGAGTGACCATTCTCTCTTCAATACTACCAAGAAAAACAGGAAGTGCAATGCTGTACTAATATTGGTCCCCTTCCTTATTCTGCAGGCATGACTGTGATATAAATGTTTCTTCTTAGGTTCTACAACTTTGCTGACAGGAAGAAGGGATATATGGACCTGTCCCATCACCATGTTGTGCTCACCTGGAGAGCAGATGTTGCTTGCAAGATGCTCTGGATTTTCCTCTTTATGGCTGTGTCACATTAGTGCAGTGCAGCCATACATACACTGGAACACCGAGGCCTCTCTCTGCCCCGAATATTCCATAGTATTGTGTTATTAGTTATCCTTAAATAACAACAACTTCTTTGGTGTAAGTGCAATGAGGCTTTGGAATAGCTTTTTAATGGTAGTAGTGCTGGCAAGAAATCAGATCTTAAGGGCAGTTTTATAAATTTGTGGAGAGGGTGTTCAAGACATTATTGCTCATTATCACCAGAACACAGTCTTCTGATCCAAGAGGTCTATTCTAACCCTCTATTTCTAGTTCTTGTTTGCAAAGGGGTTCCCTTACTAGATCCTAGTGGCTCTAGCACACAAAAAGGAATTACAGGCAACAGTTCAGCTTGGACAAAACCATGAAGGAGCTGCTCATGAAGAATTTTGATTGTGAAGTCTTCAGTAACTTTCTGAAAGCAAACTGTATTACTAATATGTGATACTGATAAATTAAGGAATTCTTTTTTTGCAAGCATTTAATAAGTTCACTTTAAGGAAATTTTATTACTATATGTAATTTATTATACCAAAAAAATTATTCTAGTGTTCTGCCAAATGCCACCTTTAACCTAAAGCTCATTTGTCCTAAGAGCACAGGAAATCTATTTTTTTGAAAATAATTCCTTTTGGCTCCATTTTCCATCAAATTTTGAATTGGAGGTAAACTAATTTCTCCTCAGAGCAAATTTTTCATTTCACCTGATCACACTGGATCATTTATTAAAGCTAAATGAAAAAGAAATGGGTTTGGACTCACACATGAGATGCAAAGTGCCTGCTCTCTAATAGCTTCACCCCATTTTCATTGAGGGCTTCCACTCGTCTCTTCAGTGCCATCAGCAGTTGTTCAAATTCCTGATGTTGCTTTAGCAGGCTTCGAACAGCATCTACATGGTCCTACATTTGAAAAAGAAAATTTGATCAGAACTTTTCTTGCTCCTACTGTTTCTGCAGTACTGAAAAAAAAAAAAAAAGTTGGACTGTACTTTCCTCTTTTTCTCTCAGGCAGGAGATAGAATGTACATTTTGAATGAGCCCAAGGATGTTCAGTGCTACAAACAAGCAGCAGGTTTGTATCATATCTGGTTTCTCTGTTCTATGTTTCCACTATGGTTCCATTTTCACCTTTTAAAAAAATCTGCATTCTAAATTTATGCCCCCACTCTGGCCCATCTAGGGATATGCAATCAATACAAAAGACAAACTTCTAAAACTTTATTCTACTCAGTTGATCCTAAAGTATGAATGTTTTTTGTTCACCTGAAAACATAAGAGGTGATGAGATATCACAACCTCCTTCTTCACTGATTTTGTTAATATTGTCTGCATTTGGGGTTTTTTGCTTCATATGCTTTAATATTCTTAAATTAATGAAAGAAAACCCTTTAAAAATATTACATTTTTACTTGAAAAATAATTACTAAGTTTAAGCAGAAACCTTATTTTTTTATGGATGAGTCAATTTTATACAAACCATATGGCATGTACAAACAGCAACAAATTACAACCCTAGCTGTTTTAATATTTTTTTGAAGGACAATGAGCTTTGTTCTCATTAAGATGAGTAAGAACATAAGAATGTTAATAGGATCCTGAAAGTCTATTTCCCAAGCATGGAAATGCCGTGATCAGAAGAATAAAGAAGCCATTTTAATAAAGAAGGTTGCTGCTACTCCCTGGATGGGGAGGAGAAGCAGGAGAAAAAAAAAATCAGCTGCTGTACGTACCCCAAGGTCATGGCCCCGGAGAAATGCCTCATGACCAGAGAGGGCTGCATTGATACGGTCTCCCTCCCTGTTGAACTTCTGCAATTCCAGGCCATCCTGCAGCTTTTTCCATCGCTTTCCCCACATTTCCTCCAGCTCTTTGTTCTCCTTGGCAAGTTTCTCCATGGTCTGCTGGACATCTCTGCTCCTGTTGTTACTGGGTTGTTGATGAACTACTTTGCGCCCAAGCTCTTCAAGCTGCAGAAATCTTCCCAGAGTCAAAAAGAAAAATGAGACCGCACTGCATGAGGGATCTTTCAGCACAGCTTTTTGCTCTCTTGGCAGCACCCATACACCAAGTTTCCCTCCCTCCCTATTACCTTTTCTCTGCAGGTTATGCACTACAAAGTACAGCTGTTTCATGGTTCAGGGATATGTGCTTGAGACAGTAGGTGAGACTTCCCCAGCTGCACTGAAAGCCCACATAAGCAGGCTTTCAGGTTAAAAAGAAAAGAAGGTCTAACAGTATCTGGAAATTTATAACAGTGAAGAAGAACTGAAAATGATGGCAAATAGAAACATAAGGCCTGAGAAGGAATGGTGAGCTGGAATAAAGTACAGATGGCACTTTCTGAGAGTGTCAGGAGAGCTTGTGGAATTCTACTACTGCAAACATACAGCTCCTCCTTACCCCTCCACCAGCCTTCAGGATAAGTAGGCAAAAGCTGACCAGATTTTATGTTTTGCAGTCTCCTTTAGTCATGAATATTCAAATGCATGTGAAGAAAATTTTGGCGTCACCTTCATGCACAGTTTATATACATGATTTACATGTTTCATTTTCACAGTACTGTTGTCATACCACCCAACTCTGCCCACCCTACCAGAATCTCTCTACCTTTCATTCTGAGAGGCAATTTCTATCAGCAGGTCTTGATGTTCCTTCAGCAATTGCTCTGCAGATCCCACATCCAGGCCCATTTCTTCACTGCTCAGTTTCTCCCGAATGCCCTCTGCCCACAGTAGGAGCCTACGGCTGTCCTGCAGGAAGGACTTCTGGTTTTGGGCCCACTGCAGAATGTCCCGCTTCTTTTGGATTTCCAGCTTGAGCTCTGCCAGAAGTCTCTCCATGTTTTCTACCTGTTCAGTGATGGCCCTGCTCTCTGCAGGGTTGGTGTCCTTGATCCTTCAATAAAATACATTCAACTGTATGAACACTTACTTAGAGCTTGAACCAGTACCCTTAAAAAGGAGTAGATTTGGATACCTAAAGCTCCATTAAAAAGAAAGTCAGATAAGGCAACATATCCCCATTGTGAATGTACTGGAAACTTAAAGAAGTTAAAAACTTTAATATTTCAAATTTGAACTCCTGTGCACAATTATCTTCTATTTTCCTACCATCACCCTTGCTTCCCCTGATTACCCTCTTTCAGGACCTAAGTAATACCTCCACATTTTGAAGTAGGTAACTAACAGAAGAGAGGATTTTTTAGAGGCACAAACAATCCTGTGGTATTCATCCCTCTACAACTGTGAAGTCTGGAAACAAACACCTCCCCAATCACCCAGCCACACTCAAGAGAAATCAGCTCAGTCTGGCAGGCAAATGAGTTCTTTGGATTTCTAGAAAGAGAAACTTAAAAAGCTGTTCTTTCTTTTTACAGCATGATCTTAGAGAACTAGCAAAGAAAGTGAAAACATAAAGAAGGTTCCTTACGATTTTGCAACACTCCTCAAGTATTCAATTTTCCTCTCTGTCACCAGGACCTCTCTCTCAATTGTGTACAGTTTGCGCTTGTCTGACTCCAGTCCAGCAGGCAAGTTCCCTGGCTCCAGATCCCTGAGTTGGACCATCTTGTCTTGCAGTAGCACTCCTATGCTCTGACAGTCCTGAAGAAATGTCCTCACATCAGCCACTCCAATCAGCTCAGAGCCTTTCTCCTCCTTCAGTGTTTCCATGGATTGCCATCTTGAAGCGAGATAACAATTTACAGCCATTGTTATAAATGAACAGTACCTGTTTTCTGTTCAGAAAAAGTCTTGTATAAAGACTACATCAGGATTTAAATGGTTGGGCTGGGCAAGAGTGAACACCAGCACTCCCTCACAACATCAAAGTTCATATCAGTGTAATCTCAAAAATGGGGACCTGCTCAGGTGACCAGAACACTCTGAACACGATGCAATTAAACAACCATGGTCAAAATCAAGACCTGCCTATGTCCACTGAGTGACATGGTAGCAGGAATACATTCACAACAGGTACTAAACACTCTTGGTGAAGTAAAACATGGTTTGATGTTCCTTTCAAGATTTGTGAAATGTGTCCTCACCCTGATGCTTAAGTAACTAAATCAGCTGCAGAACTACTCTGAATACAACATTGTCACCCATGGGTGAATTCACATTGTGCTTTAATGTGCACACAAAAATTTTTACAGTTTAAGTGATTTGGTACCAGGGTCCTAGGTGCCCCCCTCAGTTCTGGAGATGTGGTACTGAGCTCAGGGCCAGCCTGCAGCCAGCTGAGGGCTGCCTCCTTCCCATTTGTGGCACTGTTGTCTAGAAGGGATATTAATGGTCAGCTCTCCAGTTATCCCCATTAAACAATCCTCTGCTTATCAATAGCACTTTTACCTGATGTTGATCTTTTCCATCCAAGTTTGGATCTCAAAATATTTGCTGGGACTGATCTTTCCATATTTAACAGCTAAGTTTTCAATGTCTTCCAGCTGGCCTTTGCCTGCAGCCAGTTCTGTTAAAAACCTCTGAAGTGAAAAAATACTAGAATGAAGAACATGAGGTTTTTCCATTTCTGTGGACACAATTCTCAATAATCTTTTATACCCACTCATATCCCATTTTCACAGCTGGCTTCTCTCCCTGCCTGCCTGCTGACTCCATGCACACCTGTGCCCAAAATTCCCATGCAGCCCCTTGACCTCCCTGGTGTGCACACTGTGCACCTATGTCCCACTCCACTGGGATGCAAGTGCATTGTTGGATTTTTTCATATTGGTACTTTTGTGAAGTGATGCAAGATAAACGACAGAAAGAATCCTTGTGTACAATGATATTTGTACATGATACCATCTTCACAGGAAGATAAAGGGACAAAGTCACATCAGCTTCCGTAATTTGGCATAGTCTGTACAAAAGAAATATCTGATCTATGTCTGACTCTCTAAGATTAATTAAATGAAAAGGCTCTCAAAACATCTAAAAACATCTCAACTTTATGATTTCTCTTAAGGTAAAATTGATTTAAAATGTGTCATCTGTGAAAAGGAAAAAGGGGTACCTGATATTTCTGCTGCATGACCTCCACATTGTCTGCTTGAGGTTGAAGAGTGCGGAAAATGTTCTCTTTATCTCTCATCCATGACTGAAATTCTTCACAAGAGCTGCAGAAGCGATAATATCCGATCATTTCCTCCAGAGCCTTTTTTCTGTTCTGTAAAAGAGATGAAGACTTAACTATTGTTGTAATAACTCCTTACCATTTGAAGCAACAAAAAAAAGATCCTTCCATTTAAGCTACAATACACAGGTGGTAGCTTAGTAGTTTTCCCAGAAAATTCTGAAAGAGAACAGAACATGAAATTTTAAGATCACAATACTTCTTCCAGAGCAACAGTGGTTTAAAAACATAAGAGAATAACTTGGATACTTCAGATACTTTTTTGGATACATTTGGATACAGCCTCTGTACAGTAAGGAAGGCTGCTGTGCTACTTGCTGCTGCTTGCTGAAGACATAAGGCAGTAGTCTCTAGAATATGTAAAAGTCACAAGCAACATGTTTGTGTCAGCCTTTAGGGCATGATTAGAGCAGGTGTGACTGAAGAGCAGCATATTAACAAAACATAGGTTGCAGTTTATTTTTTCTGGTGTCAGGCAAGACAGCCCAGTGATTTAGGAGCTACAACAAGCAAACATTAAGTGGAAGAGGGAAAAGAGTTACAGAAAAGAATCTGCTTTTCATGGACTAAAAATACTGGAATGTAAATGGGAAATTTGCCCACATAAAATTTGCTTCAATACAAAACTTCAGTGATAATCTCAAGGCTTGAAGTCCTACAGGAATTAACTGGATTGAGGCACATTATTAAACTGAAAAGAAGCCAGCAAAGCACTTAATTCCAATTTTCACTGGTTTGGACTTCTCCATGAGCTGCACAGCAGAAGGGGGAATTATACCTCAGCCATGCTCTGTAGATGTTCATAAAGTGAATCTATTTCTTCTTGGGTCTTCCAGATATTCTCTGGAAGAAAATGATCATCCATACTTGAGGTTCCAGTGGATGCAGTTTCAGATGTTGCCCAGGTTCGACTGAATGGTAGCTTAGTTGTCTTTTGATTTAAGTCACTTGGGGCTTCCCTCTTTGTCATCTGTTAAGAAAAATTTAACAAAATCAATAGATGAGAATTTCTGATTTGGATAAAATTTCATTTCAAAGGGAAACTTGGATTTGCTAATTCAAATCACAGCAAAACAAAACCAAAAACTTTAAAACAAAAACTTCCAGTATTTCTTGGGAACTGTTTCCACTGTTTTATTCTGGAAAAAAATTGAATTAAAAAACCTGAAAAATATTTTGGTTCTGTTTAAAGAAGAACTTTAATTTACCTTATTTCAAACCGTATTGATTCAGTAAAAATTCTCATTTCCTGCCCAAATCAAAGTTGTTTAGTTGGAGGAGCTTTTTTATTTTCAGAAGTTCCAACAAAGCAAGGCAATTGACTATGCTCAAAGTTCTCTTTGTGGTGATGTTTTAGTACCTGAACACCTCCAGTTTCAAAATCTGTGAGTGCCATAGTGAATCAATAATTTTTGTGCACTAACACCATTTCCTCCCATGCTTTTTCACATTTCACAGCTAAGTAATAAAATATTTTTCTAACAAAAATTAATCTCGAATTGACGAGGTAAAGGAAAGACCACAAGAGATGCCCACCACTCTCAAATTTATTGGGCTAAATATTAAGTGAATATAGATGTCTAAAGAAGGAAGCTATGAAATGTGTCATTCATTCATTCATCTCCCCTGAATTCAGTTATTAAATGAGCTGATCTCAAGTCAAAAGTTCCCTTTCTAGTCAGTGAAAAAGAGGGGCATCTGCAGAGCTTGACTTCATCTTATTTGTCTTAAAAATAAGGGATGGTATGAATTACTTCTGGACTTGTGGGATAGTTCCTCACTACATTAGGGTAGAAGAAGAATTTGTAAGGATGTTCTGATTAAATGTCTACTTTCTAAAGATAATTGAAATGAATAATTTTATGAGACTAAAGAGTGAGAATGTATTTGTGAGGACCAGTATAGGGTATTAACATGGATGAGAATATTTCTAGCACTTCAAAGAATACTAACTAGGTGTGCTATGAGCAAACAAGGAACTTCTTTTTCACCTAAAAATTTTCCCCAATTCTCATTAAAAACTTAATTTGGAATATTTTATTTGGGTAAAACAAATAAAAAATAAATAATTGAAAAACCATTTTGTTTACATTCTTCAGCACAATGTGACACAATCCCTCCTCTACTTACTGCAGCTGGAGCCTGCTGTGCTGCAATGTCAGCCTGCTCTTTGAGGCGCCTCATCTCAGAGGAATAGGCTGCAATCTCCTTCTCCAGGCGCAAGTGACGATGCAGCAGCGCTTCGGCGCTTGATTCGTCTTTGCCATAGTCCTTGCTGGCAAGAAGGGGCTGCCTCTCTCGCAACCACGAATCTGCTTCATCAATGTCAGCAAAGTACTGAAGGAACACAGGGAGGAAAACACTTGGATTCATGCTGGCAGTATCATATCCACCTCCTTCCTCTTTGTAAAATTATGAATAAGGAGAAATTCCATTAGGTCTGTAGCCATAAGGTTACTTCCAGGTGTTGTGAAAACTATGGATAAGGTAACTCTAAACTTATGATGTATTTCATGCTTAAAACACAATTAATTCACAGAATTACAGTGAATAAAGAGATTCAAAGATTGCCTATATAGCTGTTTAAAAACTCCTAACTAGCTAAAACTTCATGGCGCCTAACAGCAGCATTGAAAGGAACCCACAATGTGTGCTGTTTGTAGGCATCATTATGTAATACCAACAGATATTTTCGTAATGTTTAAGGAACAAGCAATGAACTTGGTCTACAACAGAAGTTTACTTTTTTCCAGAATTTGCAGTCTGCCTGGGTATGGTTGTAGAAGGGTAAAACAAGGGTATGAGACATAGAATAAAAGTACAATGGGAAAAGAAGAATACCCATAGTAATGAGGGACAAAGGAAAAACTAAAACACCATAAAAGTGTCAAACTTAATAGAGAGAAGAGAGAATTTAGACTTTCTTAAGAAAAAAGTTGTTCAGTTTCATTCAAACATTTAATGGATACAACAGACTGTGCAAAATCCTAAGAAGGGGAGGATAAGAATACCTGATATAATGTAATATGATTTAAGAATGTTGCATTTATACAAATTCTTTATTTGCAGATGTGTGAATGTTTCTGACCTAAAATTGTAGGAGGTCAGAACGGAAGGGTCAAACACTTTACAAGATTTGTGAAGTTCATGGTCAATCTAAGTCTTACAGCTCATTCCTTTTGTTGGTGGTCTTTGGAATTTTTTTTCATTTTTGAAATATGTCACACAGCTACCTGATCCACCCTCTAAAAAGACTTCATTAGTGCTATCATGTGAGTTATTTCCATTATAATTTTTACCTTCAGAGCATCTCCCAGCTGCTCAAATCTCCTGCGTGTTTGTCTTGCAGGAGGATTGAGATTTCACTGCCAGAGATTTTTTGAAGACCAACTGATGAAGTCTTTCCTGCCACTGTTGTCTTCCACGTGGGGACTTGGGGCAGAACAGAGCCACATCCATGCCCCACACATCACACAGAGCAGAACCCTCTTACCTGTTTGATGAGGGCTGCTGCCTGCAGGCGGCTTTTGCGGTCAGCCACCTCATCTTGGAGCTGCTGCCACAGCTTCTGGAGATTGTCTGTCTGCCTCAGGATGTCGTCCTGGCGCATGGGGTTCTTTTGGCTGAGCTCCCAGCCCCTCCTCATCACATCTGTACATATGGCCCTGTGTGAATTGCACTCCACTTCAAGAGCCTAGCACAAGGACAGGAAACATGTCAGCACAGCTCATTCCCTACCAGCCAAGAGAAAAGAGCAGTTCCTACTCTCTGCTGCTGTCATGTAAATGTTTCCAAGAGCCCCATGTCTGATTTTTTCACCACTTCTCTCTTTACTCTCATCTCTCTTGGGAAAAAAAAAAAAAAGGTGAGAAACTAGCAATTTTTTTTTTTTTCCCATCAAAAGTTAGCTAATATGGAGCTCAGTGTCTTCACAAGAAGTACCACTTCTAGTCTAGTATGAAGCGTATTTCTTCTCTACCCTTTCCTTCCATCTTTGGGGAAAAAATGCCTACTCTACACATTTTTTAAAATTTCCAAACTCTGAAACAAGATAAGAATTATCTTATCCTTGAGATAAGGATTAGTTTGACAGCATTCTTATAAGTGCTGCACTGACTGAACTTGCCTTAATACAAAGACAAGGCACCAGCAGCAATGTAAGATACCTTGTTTTTCTGAATAGAGGCTGTGATCTGGCTGACATCTTTCCCTAATGTTGTCATTCTTGCCAGCTTCCACTTCTCAGAGATCCATGATTCTTCCTCTTTGCAATCACGGAAGAATTCAAAAAGCTTCAAAGCATCTTCTAGCTGAGATTTACTGAACCAAAGAAACAAACAGTGTGTGACTGTCAGAATTAAGATTCCATGAAGACAGTAGTAGATTGATCAAAGAAAAATTTAAAAATTGAGAATTTGAATGCCTCTAGTTACTCTTTGTCATATATTAATTTATTCATGGAATAAAACAAAAGAAACAAAATTATATTTCCTTCTTTCTCCAGGAGATGAGGAGATAACCATTTGCTATTCAGACTTCTCATAAAGCAAGTTATAATAAATGCTGAGAGTGAACCTGTTCTTAATTTATGAAAGTGAACAATCCTTTCACAGTTGCAATCAAGACACTTGAGTTGCTTTTGTTTTGTCTTTATAAATGTAGAAATGTCAAAATTTCAAATGCTGGGAAGCTGCGACATTCTTTAATTCTTCTCATTAAAGAATGGCACATTGGGCATCCTAATCAGAAAGAACAGAGCTACCAGCACAGACCTACCGTGACTTGCTCTGAGCTCTGAGATTCTGGTAAAGCTGACGAAGCATCTGAACTTTTGCATAAAGCAGTTCTGATTTAACTGTGCTGTCCTTGCTGATTTCTCCTGTTCTCTGGGTGATGTGCATCAATCTGTCATCATAGGAAGAGATCTGCGAATCAACCAAGTTGTGATTCTGCAGCAAATCTACCACTTCAAGGAGCTGCTTCCCACAGTCCTGGGAATTCACTAGCACCTACAAAGTGAGAAGAAAAAAGAGACATTTTCAGAGAGTCCATCCAGGGTCTCAGTGCAAATAAATCAGTTGAAAGGTTCCTGTTGTCTCTCATAGTTTCTCATAGCTGTCCCAGAGTGTCAGATAGGTGAAGCTAAAAACCTGCCTATTTAGAGAAATCATACTTGTTTTTTCAATTCCACAAGCAAATGACAACAATACAGAGTTTTGATCTGCTGCAGTGTAAGTAATGTGTTCATCAAATAGGCATCTGTTTTTGTACCTAAGATATTTCTTCTGACTCAAGGTCTCAGCATTTGTGGGTGCAATGAATATCTCTTTGTAGACCCATCTGTAGGCAGGTTGATTCACACTCAGTATTTGAAGAATTCCACAATATCCCATTCTATGGTATTTTCTAACTGCAATGTTCTTTTATTTGAGGAGCGTCTATGTAAATAATGAAAATAAACACTTTATAGCACTTAATTGGTGACTGACGACAAGTGCTTATCAGTCTGTCTTCTTTCTAATTCTGTCAGTGGATACAATTATTAATCCTAGGGTACTATATTTCCTTACCAATCTTTTCGGATATTCTCAGACTACTGCTGTTCTAACACCACTATTACCATTAAATAGTCTTTGCCTACTAATGCTAGGACAGAAATATTTATAACTTAGAGATAGCTCTTATCTTTAATTTGAAATTCACAACTTCATATAGCATGCTGACTCTTTCAACTTGGGTACAAAGCAACCTGTAGTCATGAGGATTTGTTTTCAAGGAAAAGGATGTACACATACTTCCTTCCATTACAAAATCAATATGAACCCAGTTATTTCTCATGCTGAAGAGTTTGTGCTCTGACACTCTGGTAACAGATGGAAATTCTTGCTAAAAGCAACCACTATGCTTTTACAGTGGAACTTTCCTTTCTCATGAGCTTATATACCTGTAAGCCTGAGCTGATTCCCAAGTGTTAAATTACTGCAGGAAATTCTAGAAGCTAATTCAGAAGAATTATGTGAAATGGAAACAGGAGGTGTGTTTATTTCACTTATGCTTTTGCACTCATAAATTTAGAAAATATTATTTTGCATTAATAGGATTCCTGGCTTTCTGATTCAGGAAATCCCCTATACCAAAGCCTGGTTTTCCTTGTGTAGTTATCTGTGATGATGGACCAAATGCTCAATTAGGTATCTAGGTAAAAATTGTGTATTTTTTCTATAGCTGATAGACTTATCTCCTGTTGGCACCAGCCAGTCTCCTGGAACATGGGGACACACATTGGCAGCACTGCAAGTTGTGTGCTGCTGGAGAGGGCTCAGTACCTGCAGCTCTTTCAGCTCCTCTGTAATGGCATCTATGTCCCTCAGGAGGCCCAGAATTTCCTGCATGATTCCCAGGGATTGTTCTCGTCTCTGAAGCTGATCCAGGAGATCCTGCCATTGCTTTGAAATGCTCTTTTGCCTACAAAGGAAGAAAAAGAAATTACCAAAGACTATGAGAATCACTGGAGGATTCTCAGTGCTTGCAACTTTAGAGGGGCTAAATGAACACACTAATCTCTCAACATCAGTGTAAGAGGACAGGCCAGGGACACAAAACAGGTAAAAAAATGTTATTACAGGAATTTTGACTAGCACATCAACTGTCATTTACTTCTTAAAATTTAGACATTGTTTTTAAGGATGTTCATAAAACATCCTTTTGTTTGCTACAGTGCTTTTTATTGATAAATTGGAAAGGATTGGAAACAAAGAAGTGTTCTTTAAATGGCTGCTTACAGTAAAACGTTAATCTGAACCATATCATAAATCACAATCTGATCTCATAGTTTGATTTGCTCTTTTTAAACTGTTTTTCCGAGTTTTCACAGAGGGTCTCGATTTTGTCTGAATTTAGAAAAGCACTAAAATACCATGAGAGAAGTTATTTGTATGGCATTCTTAGATACTCACAAACCAGGTTATATAATAACACGAGACAATCAGACAATTTTTAATTGCTCAATATTTGCTCCAAAATGGAGTAAATCTAAGAATACCATGCCTTAACAAATTCATTTCTCCCCAGATTGCAGACTGAAATAGAAATATTTTTATATGGGGAAAAAATAGTATCTCTCTAAGCATTTTTTGATGGCAGATAGAATATTTGGTGGAAATTTGTAGGTATATTTTCATAAATAACAAAAATACCTTAAAAATATTTTTCACCCTAAATTGGTCTGAGGCTTCGATCATTCATGAAAAAAAGTTAGAATTTTGAAGAAGATGAAGTGTTTGCCTTATCTGCTGAAACTATTCACAGGTAGAAGAAATTCCTGACAGTTTTACTCATGAGCAGCAAAGATAGGATTCACAGTTATAATTAATTTCCCTCCACCACACCACAGAGTTTCAACTAATACTCCACCACTACACAGTTTCTCAGCCATCACTCACTTGTGCAAGATTTGATCTTTGCTGTGATAGTTCTCCTGGCTGATAACAGTGGCCATTTCATCCAAAGCTGTGAAGCGTTCCCTCCTGGGCAGTACATCTGCCACAATGGCTTCCAGCTTCCTACTGGCAGCCTCCATCCTGTCCACACTCTCTGGCCAGAAGTCCTGCTTCCCGATCACTTTCCTCATGTCTTCCAAGTAGGACTCGCGCAGGGCTGCCTTCTTCAAGAACCTCTGGGCTAGCTGTTCCAGCCTTTCCAGCCTCAGCATCTCCTTTTGCAGTGCTTTCCCACGGTTGTGCTCTGACTTTTCCAGGATGATCCAGCGCTTTTCCACATCCTGCAGCATCTTCCCCTCTGGGGGCAAGTATGGCCGTTGGTTGTTGGCTCTCTGCTTGGTCCTGATGTTGAAGAGATGAGCTTCAATCATGCCCTTCTCTTGGTACTTGGGGGGTTTCTCCACAGTGCGGAAGGTTTTAAAGTTGGCCATGAGCAGCCACATTTCCTGAAGAGAGTTGGGGAAATGACGGTCATCCAGTTCCATCACCTTCTGTTTTATCCATTTCAGGAGGTCAGAGACCATCTGCTCATACTGAAGCTTCAAGTCATCTATCTCCTTCAGGAAGAACACAATCTGTGATGGGAATATAAAATGACAAGCCACATAAGAAACAGAATGAAGCACAGTGGGTGAACAGAAAGCAGTATCTTCAGCAGTCATCACATTTTTATACTGATGCGGTGATAGCTGTCACTTCTGGGGCTAGATTAAATCCTAGAACAGTCTTTCATAAAACAAAGATAAATCAATATTGTTTAATGTTTCATTTCAGTTTTTATTTAAGAAAACATTTGGGAATAAACAGCATGATTCACATTTTTGTTTCACAATCAAAAAAAACACAGATTTTTTTTTTTTTTACCAGTCTCATTCCTCAACCCCAAACAATTCTAGCCTAATGTGTAATTATATCCTTTCAGCTTCACCACTTAGGATCTTAGGAGACCATCTGACAAGATCCTGGTTCTCTCACATGTACACAGCAGACTACGATCAAAACAGACCCTTCTCAATCTCTTCTATTGGAACTGTTTCTCTTTATAAAAATTACTAGAGAGTATTTTGTGGCCAAACAGGGCTTTGGTAAGGATGCTAACTCTGATTTAATACTAACTTTTCAAGACCAAGACATTTATCTGTTTCATTTGTGGCCAACCTGCCTTTATTTCAAGTTCAGGTAGATACTAGACCAAACATCTAGATTTAAATCCTTAACGAAATAAAAAGTGCTAGACTGAAATAATCCTTTCTTTCCATTTTACATTTTTTCTATCTTTGTCTCTTTATATTATTTTTTTCCTCACCCTAATTTAGTAAAGACACAGATGTTCACTCCTGCAAATGTCAGGTTTATTGCTGAACTAAATTTATTCCCTTCTGAATTTTCTGCCATCGTACCCAGCTCTTGCTGAAAGATCCTAGCAAATGCATGGTCACCTCAGATGGGAGAGGGACAGGAGATTTGCCTGCTGGAGTTGTTTCCCTCTACCATCCTGGTCACACACAGTCTGAACTCAAAGTTTTCCTTGACACATTCAGGCTTCCGTCCCAATCCTATTAGTAAATTCAGAGCCATATATTCGAGGTGACTAAGGACATGAAGAGATTAATATCTGTTTCTTTCTCCATCTGACTGTGTGTGTCAGAAATGCTGGAAGATGGGAATGCAATATTAGAGACAGGCTAAAAATAGGGAAGGAGTCAAAAGGAGAAAAAGAAGCAGGTAAATGGAGAGAGAGAAAAGAAAGAATAACTATAACTATGAAAAAATGCAAAAAGCAGTGTAGCACAATGAGAATTGAAAAAGGATAGAGTCAGCAAACTTCTTATTCATAAACTACAAAAGTTATGGCCTGCTTGCTCCTTACAGTTCCTCTAACACATGCTTGTGGACTCAAGGACTATTTCATGTTTATCAAAAGACAAATAATGTTTCCTGGCCAAAATCCAGTGACCCATGTGTAGAGCTGCAAAGTCCTGCTGCCCACTCTCCTCACTGATGCCCAAACTTAGACTGAATTCCAAGTCCTGCTCTCATCAATGCATCTCTTTGGATAACACGCTGCTCTGATACATATAATCCTAGATATCTCTAGTTGGAAGGGACCCATAAGGACCATCGAGTCCAACTCCCTGCTCCTTGCAGGACTACCTAACATTAGGTCTTTTGACAAAGAGCATTCTCCAGACACTCCTTCCACACTAATAGGCTTGCTGCTGTAGGGACACACTACAGGATAATCTAAGCCTTGTCCTAGACCACATTTTTAGCTGAACAAACCCTGCCTTGCAAAACCTTTTAATCTTGTCACCACCAAGGAGGCCTCAGTGTGGATTTTTGTTCCTCCCTCTAAACAATGTATTTCTCCTCTCAACTGCAAAGGAAGTTTTCCAAATCCAGATGTTCATAGGACCCATCCTGGATGTGTAGGTTTTCTGCAGGCTATTTTTTTTGTAGTTCTGTCAAAACAAGAACAGATTTCTCTGGAGATAGAGAAATTCTCTCAATGGAAGTGGTCTTTGGAGGAACCACTACAAAATTCCTTTAGTTTTCCATCAGTGGGATGCAAGAAATTTTTAATATAGCTCATGTTTTTATGTGAGGTGAATTGTATGTGGAAACATAAAAAAATTAACTTAGCTCCAGGTACAAGTGTCAAGGAACAAGGTCTTTCAGATGGCTGTGTCTTTTGATTCTGTTCAAATGATCTTAAGTTGAGCTTGCACAAAGCCCCCCACACTTCCAAATTAAATTTAGCTTTATATTTTAACTTATAACTTCCAAAGATAGTAATGCACTTACTTTGTTAAGTCTCTTTTGTATTGTCTGGCCTTGTTTCAGTCTAGAGAAGTAGTGGTAATAGAGTGACACATAGGTCATGATGGATCTCTCATCTGGATAGGGCACTGCCACATCCTCAGCATCAAGCAGTTTGCTGATTCCAAACTCTTTCTCAGCAACATCAAAGGCATTGTTCAGGTTTTTAATGGGCTGGTCCTGCCTCAGTGAGCTATAGTGGATAAGATCAGGCCTGGGCAAGGAGAAAAAAGGACATGGAAATGAAAGAAGATTTATGTTTGTAATAAGTTCTTTCAGATCTCATAAACTGTTTATGAGACTAAGTTAATGGTCACATAACTGTTAATGTTATGTGACATTAACACTGGAATTACTTTGACCCTGAACTTCATTCAAGAACATTGCCCCTTGCCTACATAGCAGGAAGAAAATTGTCTTCTATGAAATTGAATTGCCACTCCTAGCAAATGTCTGCCCTTACTTCTCCTCTTCCCCAATGGGTGAAAACCAAAGCTCACTAGAGAAACAGTTGCGAGAAGGGAGGTGACTCCCAACTGGGGAAGTTCCACAATCCCACTATAGTATCCCCTATAAGATATAGCAGAACTGTTGAGGACAAATAAGTGTTCAAAGTTACCATAGGTGGTTTCTCTCTCCTGCTTTTGGCTATTTCCTTCACTCTTTTCAGAAGGACATAGAAGGGATAAAGAAAGAGACTGAGAAGTTGCTTACTCTATTACAATTGAACAGGAAGTTCATACAATAAAAGTTCATACAATAAAATCACTGCATAAAAAAAAAAAAAACTTTTAGAAAAAGAGCAATGGGAACATGACTGCGGGGCTAAGACCAAATGGGAAGTATTGTTCAGATATGTGATATTCCTCTGGAAATTCAATATTATACCCAACTAAAGGAGCCTCCAAGAAGGAGCTTTTGGTCCTTCCTTTCAAGGAGAGAAAACCCATTTAAGAAAGAAGAGTCTTCAGTGAGAAAGGGCAGTGACTATCTGACAGTTTCTTGACAAAAACTTGTAATTCAGACCCTGGGACAACTTGTGTTGTTCAGACCTAGAAATAGCAATGAGCAACTCTGCCTGAAGTGATCCATCAACTCTTACCTGTGAGCATGTATGAGAGCATTGAAGGCCAGCCCATCACTCCAACTTTTGGAGAAGTCCTTCACACTCACATTGGAATAGCTGGCAGTTTTATGCTGACACCAGAGCAATAAGGCTTCATTGGCAAATAGAACATCAGCTCTACCTCCAAATTCCTCCTGTGAAGAGAACAGGGAAAAGAAAAATCGCTGTCAACAATATATGAAAATATTATCAGTGACTTTACACTTATGTTCCCAAAGGTCTCTTCATATTACTATTTTCAATTCACAGATCCCCTCAAAGTCACAACTTACAGACTGTATCTGCCATAAAGGTAGAAAAATCTAACATGAAAATAGAAGATTTCTATTAAAAAAAGTTAATTTAATGAATGCAGAAACTATAAGGTGAAATGCAGGTACTGAAAAATTTTAAATGTTTCTCTTCTGTAAGGGCTGTAGAAAGCAGGCAGAAAGGAAAGTTCAGTTTATTTGCTTTCTTAGCTGTGAAATAGAATTCAGAAACAAAACACAATATATTCAGGTCTACTGTAAGCAATTATCGACTATGATTTCATAATAGAAGGTTCTTTATAGAACCTTGTTTTTAATGTTCTTAGAGTACATGTTAAATAATTTGAAAAAGCATGTGCTTCTTCAGAGCAGTATCATGGTATTCAAATCTAGAGGGAACTATTGACAGAGAAATTTAACAGGAAGTCAAGAGTCCATAAAAAATTTGCAGAAGAGGGTGAAGAACATGAATGTTCTTTCTATCTCCAAGTCACCGTTTTGTCCTTTTGAGGAAAAAACCACAACTGCACAAGCAAAAAGACAAAGATACAGTTTTACCTTATCAAGTTTTATAGATGATATCTGAAATCGAAGTATGATGATCCAGATAAGGCCCAGGATTAAGGTTCTGTCACCATCTACGATATTCTCAGGACCAATCACTTTTACTTGTACCTGCTAATAAACCAGTATCTGTTCAGCATAAATGCACTCATGTCCAGCTCTCAGTGTAACAAACTATTACTGGAGAGGGTGTTCAGGCCATTTTCTTAAGCAAAGAGGTTTAATGTTTACATCTTTTCATCAGACCACAGACCTGCAAGCTCCTATATCAGCTCATGATGAATTTTGGCAAAAGCCTGGCAAAGGAATAGTGGTCTCAAAAATTTAAAGTTCCAATGTATGTTTTTTGAAAACTGGTGGTTAAGGAGAGGAAAGAAGAGGAGAGGAATATTAGCTACTTCTAAGACACATTACTCAAATAAAAAAGAAATTAAAATTTTATTTTTATTTTAATAAAATTATTGGCCTGTCTTCAGAGGATATGTTATTGTATACTAGAGGGGGAAACCACAATGAACATGATGCTTTAATTAATTAATAACATATATAAACTGTTGTGATCTATAATATCAATATTAACTTACCTTGGATTTCAGAAATGTGATGGCTTTGCTGTTGTTTTCTAGAAAATGCACTCTCATCTTTCCCCGGCTTGGTTTGGGCAAATCTTCTCCAGAGAGAAGCTCGAGGAGTTTCATGAGAGAGATGCCATCCTTCAAATCTGTGTAAATATCTTCTATCTCAATCTTTACCTGTAAAGACCAGCCAGGCAATACAGACTCCAGCTTAACAATTGGCACAGAGAACCCTCTACTTCTAAAATGAAACAAACAACACCTTCTTGATGTTTCACTGAGTTTTCTCTACGACAGTGCATATATCCACAGAGCAGTGAGTCTTAATTCAGAAAAAATGGATTTGTGGGAGGATTTACATTAGTTATGAAAGTAGTCTGAAGTTAAAAAAACCCCAATAACCAAACAAAAATGCAAACCCACAATGGAATAAAAAAAACCAGGGAGATTTTGAAAAATAACAAAAAAAAAAATTGAGCATTTTCAAAATCAAACTTTTTGGAAATGCTGACTTTTTTTATTCCAATTCAAGTGAATCTTTTATTATATCAGAATAATTTTATTCTGAGCTGTACATTTCATTTAAAAGTTGAGCTGATAATCCCATTCAATGACTCATTTTATATTCCATAGTCTCAACAAAGTTTGTCACATCCTGCTTGGACCTGCACTACCACCCAAAGTCTCCATATTTTTAGCCACAGTCTCACACTAAGTGAAAGGTTAGGATCACTTACAAAAATGTGTCTTACTGCTGCCAGTAATGAGGTCACCCTGTGCTTAGGTGATATAACATGACACAGATTGTACTCTGACCTAACAAGAACTTGCTTTGGGTGTTTCCTTCTGGCATCATGCCACTTGCCATCTAGAAGTGACATTAAAACCATACCACACACCCAAGAATAATTTACTGTGATTTTGCAATTACAGTAAATAATCTTTCCATCAAAAAAAGGGAGAGAAAAACGATAAGAGAGGAGAGGAGAGGAGAGGAGAAAGAAGGAGAAGGAGAAGGAGAAGGAGA